CTTCCATATTTCATTAATGATATTTAGTTCTTTTACTTTTTCCTCCATGGTGTTATTATCAAGGATGTGTAGGTAAAGTACTCTTTAGGGGGAATGGTTTGAAATACTCTAGATAATGTAAACACCTTGATTATTTGTTTATGTTCAATATTTGATTCATATGCTCAATGCTTGTTTGTTCTAAATCCGGAATAGAATTAAACATGATATTTATATATGTTCTTGTTATCCATGTTTTTAAATATTATTTTCTATTTGACAATGGGGACGTTGGAATAGTTTCAGTATTAGTTCAATTGGAGATATGTAAGTTGATAATGGAGGCGTTGGCTTGCATGTTAATAATTGTTCTCTTTAATTGGAACTGGATTTGAAATTAACTTTCATAATGGAGACGTTAGGAGTTTGTAGTGAATCAATACATTATGTCTATCTTGTTTTAACAATGGGGACATTGGAAATATTATGAATGAGATGTATATATTCAAGAATATGCATAAAAGAATTCCATGTTAGTTAAGTTTGACAATGGAGATGTTCGAATTTAATATATATGCGTAATAAGATAGATTTGAATTTTATAATGGAGACATTAGAGTTTTATCTAATCTTGTATTTGTTTAGGATCATGGAGATATGACTAATCATTTACTATGTTGAACATGATTGAATGCCATGGTTGTTTATGTTGTTTTGTTTGTGGATACCATTTCTTCCTCCTAATTATCATTGAATCTTCTTTCCATATCTACCATCTTCTTTAGTTAATTACTTTAATAGTTTGTTTAATTTAATTGCCTTATAGGAATTAGAAGTCTTTGAGGTTTTCTAGAGGTTTTAACATTATCTTCTTGGTATATATGATGTGAACAAACCTCGGGGTCAATATCCTTAATATCATTTAATGACCAACCGAATTGCAAAGCGGTGTTTTTGAATAACACCGACTAATATTTCCTCTTGCTCGGGCGTTAAGGCCGATGAAATTATAATAGGGTGTTAACCATCATTGTCTAAGTGAACATATTTTAATTCGGAAGGCAATGGTTTTAATTCTAGACTTAGTGGTTTAGGGATTAAAGTCTCACTGGGGGTTGTTTCGATTTCATATACGAGAAGAGGTACAAGATAATTATCATCTTTAGGAGAAAAATTGTTATCTAGAGTATATGTTTTCATTATTAATAGATTCAGAATAAGCTAGGAATTCTCTAATATCATTTTGAGTTGTAATTTCCGGAATCACTTCTTCTAGATTACAAACTTCTTCAACTAATAATGTGCCCATAGGTTGTTTCCTCATTTTAAAGTTCCCTAAAGTTAACAGCATAGTTCTGCTTCTACAGTTTATTAAGGCATTCGCGATAGCTAGGAAATGCCTACCTAAGATGATAGGTGTAGAAACGCCAACAGAGTGTTATGTATCTAAGGTAACAAAATCCACCAGGTACTAGAAATAAACAACCTTAACCAAGATATCTTCCACGATTCAACGTGGAATTTTAATGGATCGATAAGCTTGTTGAAGTGTCATCGTAGTTGACTAAAGTTTTTTTAGTCCTAGTTTTTGGTATAGGTAGTATTGAAGTATATAAACGTTGGCTCCTAAGTCTAAGGCTGCGCTAGCTTAAAATCAATCGTACACATGATCATAGGTTTACCAAGATCTTGGTATTTTACAACTTCAATATGTTCGACAAAGGAAGGTATTTTGTCACGACCCTAATAATATAAAAAGGAATGCAACAGTAATCTAAATAACATTCGCACAAAAGGTAAAGATCTTTTACACAAAAAAAATCCATATTTAATTTAAGGTTCCAACCAAAACTCCATAAATCAAATCAAATACTCCAAATAACAAAAGCCAACTATACTGAAGTATAAACTTCCTCGATTAACAATAGTCCAAACTAAAAAAAAAACGTATTTAAACCTGCTGAGCAAATCAAACTACTTCTCGAACTTCTGGATCCACATGAGCCTCCTGATGCTGCTCTCAATCAATATGAACACACTACTCTCCTCCGCCTATATACAATGCTGGTATGAGCAGACAAGGTAGGGAACTCTATTCATAAAAACAAATAAAAACACTAGAACTCTGCGGTTCTCTTATACTTAACTAAAATAATATTAATTGTACATAAAAATACATTACCAGAAACAACACCTCATATAAGGATATGTCTCGCCTTGCAAGAAATGTCAATTGACCTATCCTCCTGCAAAATAGAATTAATACAATGAAACATATAAAATTCATGGCATCTCAAACATTAAACGTCATAACACCAACTATTCTATTTAACGTCATCACAAGTCTCAAACCTATACCTTAATCAATACAAACCAATCATTACATATTCTCAAGTCTCACTATCCACAACCTATACCCAATCATTAGTACAACTCCCATAGGATACACTCCACATATTTGCCATCGCCACACATCACCTGTGTGTCTTGTCATGGTTAGGAGCCGCTACGAGGAAACCAAAACCCAGATGGGTGATCATCTGCTAGCTTTGGCTAGCCTCCCGTATGCCTAATTACATGAATCCTATTAGCTCCCTTGAGCTTTACTATGTGGCGCCCAGACCAACCTAGATGGGTGATCATCTGTAGGGTCAGTTCCGCAAGCTAAGCCGTCTAGGAAATACCCAAAATAAATCTCTAAGTGTCTACCCTCAGGCTACACCATCTAGGGTGACTTCCTAATTATCTTAACTTTATTACAGAGGTACGACAAATGTACTAACGCTTGGGTAACTACCAACTAGACAACTACACAACCAAACAATCATCTATTACCAAAACAAATCATTTTAACATATTAGAATTCCATTTCCTTATTCCGTTCCAAATCCATTTCATTATTGTGTTTCCATAATTCAATTTCAATATACCGTCCATGGTATTATCGAGCCATTCCAAGGCATCAATTTTCAATTCAATAACGACTTGAGAATTAACAACCGACCATATGTATATGCATGCATTAATACATATGTACATCACCGACCATCCAT